GGGGTGGACTTGACACACACAACAAGCAGAGCCCCATAGAATTGTGTTATGATTGAGAATTATTTTGGTGTTAAACACTGATCACAGTGTGTACTTCCCATTTTCTTCTTCCATTTCAGTCAAAGGAGTAGCACTGCAACCTATGTCAAGCCCCTTTCTCTTTTTTTAAGATCCTAAAGCACAAGAGGATAGTAGAAAGAGAATGGGGGGGAAGGATGCTGAATTCTGAGGGACATGAGTGAAAAGTAGAACCAGATGAAGTTGGTCAATGACAGAACTTCATAGGTCAGTCCTTATTTCTTCTTTCAAGGCAGGCGTGGAAGTAGAAGCTCTTTTTATTAAGAACTGAAAGGATTATTGACACTTCTAGATCTGGAAATTGTCAATATATTGTAACATTACTCTGCACTGCAATGCGGATGCCAACCAACAAATCACAGGCATCCTAGGCTAAACAAAGAAGGTCTGATGCCAATCCTGGTGCCACTGGCAACCATCACTGGCACTCGAACTATCCTTCCTCCTCCTTTTTTCCCCTAATCTTCTTTTTTAAAGCAACAAAAAACCCAAACTATTTGGCCCCTTTATTTTATGTGCTAATTCATTTTTCATATTTCGCTGAGGGATTTAATTGTTTCTACGTCTCTAGTTAGTTTTTACATGATACTATTAGGTGGGTTTATATATTCTAAAAGAGAAATAAAAAAGCAAAACAGCATGTGTATAATGCAGCATTTTGGTTGACTTCATGCTTGTATTTTGCAAAGCCTGGTGTTCTTAATCAAGTGCATTACAACATGCCACAATTAACCTGCTTTCAATGAAGATAGAGAATCAAAGTCTGACAAAATGGAAAAATAATACAAAGATAACTTAATATGACTTCTTCAAGAAGAGAGCCAACAGATGTCAATGGAAGATTTACTGTGTAGCAGCAAGACAGATACAAAATACATGCAGTTTACAATAAACAAAAGGGTCTACTAAGGGTGACTTGGTCACAGAAATTAGCTAGCTACATCTTCCAATATATTCTCAAAGTAGCATCAAAAGAAAGTTATATTAGAACGTGCTTATTTTACTCATTTCTAATTAGACAAATGTTTTAAATAAACTCATATTCCCAATCCATTTAAATTGATCAAATCAGCTATGTCCTTCAATTCCTTCTCCCACTTCAAGTCACTGGATTCCAACAACTTAAAAGTTGACAGTGTGTAAGAGTACTCTGACCTCAGCTTCTTTGACTCAAGAGCTACTTGAACTGTTTTGCCTGCCTTTGTAGTTTTGACTTTTAGAGACAGGTAAATCCATTAGAATTAATCAATAAGCTATGTCTTGCAATATATGGATTCAAAATATCATTTGAATTTTTCTTCACAAAAGGACTTTAAAAGTAAAAATTATTTGTAATTAAGCTATTTTGTTTAAGGCTATCAAAGAAATATTTTTCCTGCATTACTGGGGATCAGATTTACCAGACTCTGCAGCTACTTAGTCGCTGCAAAATATCTGTGTTATCTACTGCTGTGGAGAGAAAAATGCAAAAAATACAAACAGAGAAAAAAAAAAAAAAAAAAACCCACATATTTTTTCATGATGAATTATCAAATTGAACCCGATGTATATGTTCACATAAACATAGTACTCCACTTGTGTGAGTAAATGCTAAAAGATAAATTCAGTGAAAACAAAAAGGTTGTGTTGTATATCTGTTCTTTAGAAGAATGAAATGGACACGTGCAATTTTACTTTTTTGTTACAAATAAAACCCATTCCATTTGTTTTTCACTTAAATCTCACAGTTATGTATCAGGCATCAGATAACAGCTGCCATCTGCCCTTTGCAGGCCATTTCTGCCTACTACCAGGCCAAGTTGTGAAATAGCCCACCATCTGCGGCTGGTCAAACTTTTCCTAGTTGAGATCTGCAGCTAAAAAAGAAAAGCTTTATTACTGCTGATCAGTCAGCAATACAAAGGCATCTAGAGGATGGTATAATCACCAGAAAGAACCAAAATGACCCCTCACAGAGAAAAAGCATTTCAGAAGGCTTAGTATTGGAGAAAAAAAACCCAAACCTTATCTACTTAGAGCCATTTACAGTTTCAGGTAACCTGCCTATAAGTACTGTTATCTGAATATGCAATATGACCAGCAGTTTTTTTCCCTGATACATGATTATCAGAAGCCCTGGGTTTTTTTTCATTCTGTAAAACTAGGTTTAAGAAGCTTTTCCATAGTGTTCCTGTGATTTTCCACATTTCAATTATCTATCAAACAAAATTAAGAATATGAGTGTGATTATGAAAATATACTTTTAATGGAAAATTATCTCAAGATATTACAACCTGGACATTTGTTTTGTAGCTGAGTTAGGTAAGATGAGCTAGGGATATAAAATATTAATAACATGTTAAGTACTGTATGCTGTAACTCTGACTATGTATAGTATTTACAAAGCAGTATTTCTGTGCTAAAGTTTTTTCATGTTTTATTTCATAAATGTGAGAAATTCTGCAATTGCTCTTCAAATGGATAGCAAGTTCATCAGTTTAAGGATGAATTCTTCCTTATTTGGAACTACAAAGACGATAATAAATATTTGTATTATTATTGTGACTGTGCGATTGCACATACCTGCATCTGTTGGGTGAACTAAAAAAAAAAAAATATCTTGAAATACAAGAAGGTTTTCTGAAGTCACGACTGTAAAAAATACACAATCTATTGCCACTTTTTGACAAAAAACAAAAAAGCAACTTCAGCAGAACTAAAGTACTACCTTGGTATGACCCGCTCTCTCTTGAAAGAGAATAAGGCATGTATGTCAAATATACATGTCATTTAAACAGGTCTGTAGAAATGTGTGTATATCTAAGTATATATGTATACATGCTGATTTACATATGGATATGTACCCACATTATGTCTGTAGACCACAGAACACTGTTTCACTGGAAGCCAGCCCATAGAGGAAACAGAACTACTTGGAATCAGAGTTTGACATACTAACATAGAAAGACAACAATCTGCTTCCTACCTTGCTCCTGCACGTAGTATGCCAAAAACAAATCAAGCTCCTTGACTGATACTGTTATGTGATGTGGCTGGACGCAAAGTGCTGGATTTGTGCAATGTGGGGATTTCATGAGCCGCTCTCCATCCGTACTTTCCAAGGGGATGCCTTTGAACAGGATCACCATGACTAGATCCAGACGCCAGACTTTGTCAGCCTGTCGCAGGCAGTCGATTCTCCTAATCTTACCCTTCTGATCAGGATTGGACAATACACAGCATGGGTGCTTCTTCCCAGTCACCGTGAGCACAAAATCCTCCCGGAACTCTTGGCGAATATCTTTGCGCAGCTTGGCCAGGAGCCTGGATGCCCACTTCTGTTTAATTTCAGGCTTTTCACTAAGTAGCTCATCCTTGACTGCTCTTTCCTCATCCTTTGACATTCGTTTCTCATGTTTTTTAAAGTACTTGCGTTTTCGAGCCTGAAGGTTGAACCAAGTATAGGCAATTGCACGGACATGTGGAAGAAGTGCCTCAATGAACGGGTGAAATTCATCCTGTGGAAAGAAGTGGAGGGGGGAAAAAAAGAAGAGAAGAAAACTCAAAGTCAGTAAGTTCTCATAATCAAAGCAGTATCAAGAAAGGTTTCTGAAATCTTAAAGTGAAATTCAAGACGAAGAGAACAAACATTTAAAATTTACACAAATTTCTTCATAACACCTTTTAGACAATTACTACTGCTGCCAGGCAGCAGACAAAAAGTGCACAGATAATTGCACTTTCCCCATATCTTTCTCTTTGAAAGAACCATGTGAAGATTTTATTTTGTATGCCTCCCCTCACTTTATCCCACAACCCCGCAAAGACAACATCATTTAAAAGAGATGCTATCAAGATGTTTTGTTCCTAACATTTAAATATCTGAGTGAATGGCTAACAACAAGAAAAGTACCATTGCACAAAGAGGACACTATACGGTTTTAAAAAATCTGATCAGAAACATTCAGAAGGCTGAGGAGAATGCCACAGTTCATTTCTCTTCTCTGTGGCACAGAAACACAAAGCATATACATGCTCAGTGTAATGGCACACAGTTCCCGCTTTTGGAGCATGCTCTCAGCAAGAGACTGCTGGTGGCACAAAGAGCATGCGCCATTAAACTTGATCCATTTTCTTATCAAACGTCCAACATTCCAGCACTGAAACAGCACCATTCCAGTGGTGGTAACTAGAGAAACCAGTACAGAGTAAGGAAAAGAGGGCAAAAGACACAGCGTGTTGTATACAAATCCTGAACAGAAGCTTCTGTACTTTCAGCTCTTCAGGCTTCCCTCCCACCACCCCCAAACTCTGTAAAATAAAAGTTTATGAAGTTGAGAACAAAAATTACATTTATGTTCTTCCGGCAGCTCCACTGTGGGTTTTGAAGCACCACAGAGCGAGTTCATTTGTTAACTGATCACGAGTGTGGCAATTATTCTAAACCCCTTAAAAATCAATCTGAGGTGTACAATGAAAAATGGCAACTTGGCACAAACTTTGCATTCTTTGTGTTTCTGCATGCTGTGGCAGAGTGACATTACAAGTGCACCACTGGTCAAATGCTGGTTTTGTGAAATCCATGCAATTTATTTACAATTCCAAAATATCCTTTTCTGTCATCTGGCTTCACCTGCAAGTTCTTATCTTCTGCCTAGCAGCAACATGGATTGCATTAAGGAGGTAATGTTTAGTTGTCATCTACAAGTACATCCTACAGCAATTAAATTAATTCATTTTGTCTGCTTAAAGTACCATCCTACACATTCATGCTACTATCTAAATAGGCCTTTTCCAAAAACTAATAGCTATTTTCCATGAACAAATCCACTGTTTAAAGCAGTGCGATCTGCTTATCAAACATTACTGTACTTTGGTTTGGAAGGGAGACCTTAGGGGAGGTATCTTTCTTCCTGTGTGCAGGCATGTTTAGTTTTAAATACCATGCAGATTGCTCATCATACTGAGCGGCACAGTGCAATCAAACTAAACTGAACCTTTTTTATACAATTATATTCCAGAATACAATTAACTGATATTTTAGTTATGCTGCTAGACAAGGAATGAATTATGTTTAATCAATAGGCTGATTAACTCCATTACGTAAAAAGATGAAAGTGTAACTAATGGTCTCAATTAGAGTTCAGACTGCCACTGTAGAAACTTCAGGCCAAGAATTTAGTATTTAAATCTTAAAATTTCAAACTTCAGAATTTCCTGAATGGTAAAAAGCCCCACTGGACCTAGTTACCTCTCTTCCCTAACCATCCTCAAATCCAACAGAAAACAACAGAAAAGTTGCAAGCAGTTTACCTATAACCATATTAACTTCACAGAAAAAAAGAAAAAAAAAAAAAAAGAGTGAAAGACAATATAGGAAGATAATTCAGAACATAAACAATTGCAATGCAGTATGATACTTGACAAAGAGCCACAAAGGCAATAATTAAACTGATTAGTAGTTTTCAGCAGAGATTTGAACAATTCAGATACTATACTGGCACATAAAACTAGGCCATGGAAAGAGTTAAACCACAATCTGTTCTTTGTGTGGGAAGGCAATACTGCTCTGAGTAACCACAGCCCATGATAAGACTTCCCTGTCTTCATATGCTTTCTGATGCCATGGGGTTTTTTCCCCGCAATTATAACTACCAAAGAAAGTTTACTTTTTCCTCCACAGAAGTCATCTTAATCGAAGTATTCAAATAAAATTTTAAAAACCTCAAACAACATAAGTGTAAAGACTGCACAGTGTTAAATGCTTACAATTCATTTTAGACAGAATAAAACAGATTTAATAGATTTTGAAAATTCTAACAGCTGGGGCTAAAGCTTTGGTGAAGGCAGAGACCTGAAGAGCTTTGGAAGAAAGGAATTCTTGCCCCAATACAACAATTTCCCCTACATCTAAACAGACCTCATCATTTATGTTATTATTTTAAGTAATGGTAAATAAAATTAATGTGGAAATATTCTATGCTACTAAAATACTGCACATCTAGGTTTTATTTTTAAGAAGAACATCATAAACTATTTCAGAATGGCTATGCCTTTAGGTAATGTACGTAGGATTACCTATAATAACCTATACCATCTATGAAAATTTTATAGAGAAAAATTCCACTTTTTAAATTCCAATCTGTAGTGACTGAATGAACCGTTCTCAAAAAGTGAGGGGAAAAAAACCACCATTTTAAAAACTGTATTCAGGCTTTTCTTTCATAATATCATTAAGTACTAAATATATAGTACTAAATTAAATATAAGAAATATATGTGAAAGAGTGAAGGAGAAATACAGCAAAGAACATCCTGTTCTAAAGCAATATTCTTGGGTATCTTTGAGAGATTCAATTGTGTATCTGGAGTCCTTTCAAATGAAACATTACTTGACAAGAAAAAGTGCCCATAAAAATGATCCTGGAAATGGAGATTTGCAATTAATCACACGCATTCCTCACTAAACCTCCTAAAAAGTCATCTACAGAATTTGATATTTTTTTTTCCCCCCTTAATACTCATAGAGGCAATATTGACATGGGTTTTTTATGTGGCACTTACCCATGTGCCACAGTTGCTCTTGCAATAAAGTGATTTATGGTGGTAAGATTTTCAAATGTCATATCAAATGGCTCAGGTGAACCATTGTGCACAGGCAATTTAAATTAAAATGGAAGTTACTATACAATATCTATGTAGCTTGTAAATAAAGAAAAAAATACCAGTCATCTAATGATGATAGATAGGCCAGGTTTTCTTTTCGGAAAGGGTAAAGGGGAAATGCAGCACCTTTCTCCTGTCTTCCACTTTTGCCAACTTTGTATCAGTTCATGCAAGTTTGAACTCAGGACAGTACAATAAATATACCAGGCAGAAGTTAAGAAATTTTATACAGAAAACTTCATGTACTCAATTTCCCTGCATGGATTTTCTCTACACCTAATGAAACAACATATTTTAGGAGGAAAAGAAAATTACTACATATTCTGAGTTTCCTGGACCACTGTAATATAAAAATAAACCACAGCAAAAATATCACAAGAGACCAAGCACTTAAAGGCATGCAGTAACTGCATCCTATCATGCCTCAGCAAGGGAGATAAATGCAGTTTACATTCATTCCGAAACAGGGGGAAAGAGGCATATGGAAAGAGAGGAAAGAACACGCAAAAAATTAAATTGCATTTGGTAAGTCTTGATTCTTCCTTGGAGTTATTTTACACCCACCAAACTTGTATTGAAAGAGTGATGGGTAACATTCGAACTGCCAAGGTTTGTCTTAAAGATGTACTTTGGGTTTTAGGCTTGTTTCTAAAAGGTACTTCAGTGCTGTCTCAGCATAAACTGAACTACTTTCACAAGGAGCTCGGTCCAAACAGGTGTTCTGTGTTTAGAACTTTTACTGAAATATTTTCTTCTGAGCATACACTACCACAGTCAACGTGCATCACAAGAGCACTAGAGACATAGAACACAGAGAGAACAATTTTGGCGGTACTACTTTAACTCAGTTGCAACTCAAAATAAGAGTAATCAATCTTTTGCTTTAAATAAATAACTAACGCAAAGTATAAACTGTCGTTGCCAGTGTAATCTTAATTTTCAATTTATGGAGAGAAGAGATTATTCTTAAAATGCCTTTATCATTCCAAATAGGTAGAGAAAGATTCAAAATTAAAATCAATTTGCTGCAACTGTCTTCCATGTATGTACCACCAAATCGGAACTGTCTCTGCACGGCTCATGATACAGTGTAATTGTAAAATATTATGGGGAAGTTATCAACGCATGAAAGCCAAGAATTGCTTTCTTGTATTTATGGCTGTAGAAGTACAATGTTGTGGGTTTTGTATACACCTGAGTTTGGTATTTTAGTACAGATTCAATACAAGTCCAAAAAACAAAT